TAATTTATAATGTGTTTTTGTTATTTGCAGAGGAAGGAAAATGACACTGTCAATCCTCACACCAATAAATGTATTTGTATTTTATCTCACTGGCCGTTTTTTGAAGCTTTCAAGAAGTTTCTCTCGCAGCTTTACAGAATATCTGTGTCTGCTCAGCCAATCCCAATAGAAAAGTAAGATCCAAGACATTTCATCACAAATATTGTATAATACTTGAACTGTTATGCTTATTTCCTCTTGTTTTTCCTGTAGATATATTGCTAATTTAATGTTAGATGTCCCATTCCCGTCACCGCAACGACCAAGAATTTTAATTGAGGTAATTGTAATTAATAACTGTTTTTTTCAGCATGGTAATGAGATGTAAGAAAACTAGTCCTTAGTGAGAAAGAATTCACACTTGATTTACTTTTATTAACAGATGACAAGATATGATCCATTTGAAATCACACAACTTTATCATACTCCTTTACCAGTCAGGTATGTTTGAAAAATTTCTTGTTTCACTTAACAATATGATCTGAATTAATTCAACCCTTTTTCTATTTCTTTTAGTGGTGCTTCATATACAGCTATGCTTCGATATCTTGGTCCAGACAATGTTTTACTGYTATTTTATCTAGTCTTAACAGAACACAAGATTTTGTTTCATTCTTTAAGACCTGCTCTTCTTACTAGTGTTGCTGAAGCTTTAACTACGGTGTGTCTTACTTTCATTGAATGGTTGAAAGTCTTGCTATGTTCAAGCAATGATTTTGTTTTGTTGCTGTTTTGTTTCTGTTTTTAGATTCTGTTTCCATTCAGCTGGCAATGCCCTTACATTCCTCTATGTCCTGTTGCCTTGAATGAAATACTCTGTGCTCCTTGTCCTTTTATTATAGGTGGGTAGATCTAATTATTATATGTAATAGGACTCCATGCTGTCCAATTAAGAAATAATTGGACGAGGAAAATTCCGAGGACTGACAAAAATTGGACGAGGCCGTGGCCGAGTCCAATTTGGCAGTCAGAGGAATTTTTCGAGTCCAATTATTTCTTAATTGGACAGCATGGAGTCTTATTACCTATTAATTATATAGCCACATATTGATCCCAAATAGGTAAAAGCCAACCACAGCTTTTAACAAAAACCCAATTGAAAACCTGTCCAATTAATTTCTTAATTGGACAGGATTCCAAAATTAACGAAAAATCCAGCTTTTACCTATTTGGGATTAATATGTGGCTATATAATTATGTATATTAATTCTATATACAGGCAATTACAATGTAGCAAACCCTCCCTTTACAAGTCTTATAGTGTAATTAAATAACATTTTGTGTTTRCAGGTATTGATTCTCGATACTTTGATCAGTATGACCCCCCTGATGATGTCACATCAATTGATTTGGACACAAACATGATATCTCTGTAAGTGCGACAATAATGGATCAATAATTGATGAATGAATTAAATAAATGAGTGTGTGAATGAATGGATGAATGAATTGTAAATGAAAGAACGATTTGTTCATTTATAGAGCCAGTGAAATCAAGCCAGTATCATGGAAATCACTGCCAAAGGTACGTAAAGCTTATATTTAGGATAGTATAGRCAGAGAGAGATATTGCATTGCTAAGAATATAAACATATTTATCACTGTATTTTGATTTTGTAGAAACCTGGTAAAATACTGAAAGATAGATTGACGGAGTTGTWTTATCAGATGTATCAACAATACCACAAGGAAAAAGAAGGTTTTATCACATTCTAGAATATTAAGATCACTAGACACTATTTATGTTAGTGCTTAATTTGTTTCTCTTTTGTATTGCATAGCATTTGGTACAGATATCACAGAAACAGCAATAGAGTTGGCTCCTCTTGACCATGATAATACCCACTCAAGACGAAGGGTATGAATTGATACAGTAAAAATAAAAATTTAATGTCAATTCATCTTGTACTATTTTATCATTCACTTTTTTTATATTATGTCTCTTTTTTACAGCTTTCTTTAGAAGTTTCAATCCAAGAGGCATTCCTTAGGTTTATGGCAACAATACTGAAAGGATACGGGTGAGTAAAATCTCCCTGATTGTCATTGTAATAATTGATTACCAGCATTGATAATATCCTGATTGTTTTGATCATGTCTTCTTATCAATAATAATACTTGTGATCATGTATTCCAATTGCCAGTAATCAATTGTTTACCTGTGTATATTTCTTTAGGAGCTATTTGCTTCCAATTACTTCTGCTCCAACTGAAGGGRCATGTGATATGACATCTCTATTTGACATTCAAGGTATTGATTGATTATAAATTGTATTAAATCACTTCTAATATATCTCTACCAAAGCAATTCAAATTAAACCATAACTAATTAATGGTTTTAGGTTTTCTAAAGAGTCGACCAAGTTCTCATCAGAAGTTCTTCAACCTTCTAATGCATACACAGGTTCGTGTTGATAATGATAATCACATGTTTAACTCACCATTATCATCCTTCAGCTTTGAGGGTTGAAGTGAACAGAAGAACAGAAYACCACCCAGCTTGGTCCTGTATTGTTTGCTACAGTTTCCTTCCCTGTATCCCTAAATAGCATTAAATTATGGATCACATGATAAAGTATACCATACTAATACTTATTGAATTGATTTTACAGATGTTCARTCGTTTTATCGAGCAAAGATCTTTTGTAACAGCACAGGACTCTCTCTTGGCTTTCTTTGATAAATGTACAGAAAAGGTAAAACTAGAATTCACTTAAAAAAMCAAAGACAATAAAGATTAAACCACATAGGTATAAMGTGTATGTTTTGAAAGGCTCAATAAGGATGCATTGGGAATTGTCCAGTCTTAGACTATAACCACTCTGTAGATTTAACATTATCAAMAACATCAAAGTCTTGTAGTGTTTACTTGRTATCKTTGTTACKTTTAAGCTTGAKTCTACAAAGCCTTTGATAGAAGTTGATGAGTCCTTTACCAAGTAAGTTGTGCCACGTAACATTTTACATCAATGTGTACTCATTTTATTTGATGTGAATTAATGGATGAGTCAGAATACATTGATTAAAAATGGTGATGACAAAGGCTGATTCRTATGGTGCAGCATACGTTATTTGACTTTTTCATTGCCCTGATACCATRAAAATACCATTAAGCTACTGTTTCCCATGAAACTCCCATGTCACAAATGTAAAATTATTAAATCAAGGTCAACCCCATAGATTTTTAACAGTTAATTCAAGATAAGTGCTAACCTTTGAACAACTTGTAAGGATAATTACATTAGATAATATTTTCTTTTAGGGGAGGCCAGAGGACCTATGTAGTCACTCCACCAGACAACCTTGTTAACAAAGGAAAGATATACACGTGAGAGATTAGATATTGGTCTCTTTTTTTAGCATAACATAGTTAGAGTCAAACCTTGTGTTGAGAAATCGTACCAGTAATTTACTACAGTGGAAATTTTATTGAAAAGTCATGATAATGACCTTTCTAATTTTATAACTGAAAACGTTAATGTACAATGAGTAATGACTTACTTTAGTTAATCAGGTCAAACTGTTGTCTGTCTAGATATCCAACTTTTCCAACTGAACTCAACATGGATCTGATATTCAAGGGGAGTCATTCATCAGTGATAAACCCACCAGTAACCCCATTACCACCTTCTCCGGTTATACCTCCTGGTATACCTCCTGGAGGAGGAGGAAAGACTGAAAGTGTACAGAGAACACCAGCAGAAAAGCTTGAATCAATTA